TATTAACAACAGTGTAATCTGAACAATCAAATGTTTAAAACATACCTTGGTTTTTGAACTCCATTTGGCATTTAAAATAGCAGGATAGGTGAGGAATGGGTTTTATGTCACCTACAACATTATATATAGAATCAAAATTCATATTGCATAAATGTTTGACACACATCAATTGCACACATTACGTCATCCCTTTGACAAGCTGAGCAGGTGCCCCCTCCCCCTTTTCAATTATTTAAATCCATTTAACTTCTCCAAAATACAATTTTTTCCATAAAATTTGTCAACAATTTGCATAATTAGTTCCAAATTATCCAAAAAGTGCCAGTAAATTGATTAACGTGAGATTTGACCTTTGACCTCATAGGACACAGACTACCAATTATTTTGCTATACATTCCTTTATACTATAAAAAATGATTAAAAAAATTACACCAGCTCAACTTACCTGAAACTTGGCACAGAGTAAGAAGAATTCAAGTCCAAAAATTTTTCAGACTCTCAGGAAAATTCATCGCATGCAGTTCCTGCTAAGGCATCGCAAATAACCCCTACCCTGCTTTTTTCACTTTCTCTTCGGGGAAAGGGTAAATATGGGCCTCTTTACACCCTTCCTACTACGCGCGCAAGTGCAAAATTTCACATATTAACAATTTTATATTTTTTTTCAAACCCTCTCCTTTCCATCTATACCCAAAAATAACATCAGTCCACCCCATAAACACCCCAAAGAATTTTTAAGAAAAAACCTCTATTTTTAAACTGGAACTACTTGAGTGGTCAATGAAATAGGGGTAAAATTAGTAGTCTGTAACCTAATATGTTCTGCTACAAATAAAACCATGTCTGCAGGAGGTGGTACCAGTGGTGCCTTTGGGGCAGGAATGGCCGGTGCTCCTTTTGATCCCGTGCAGTTTATAAAGAAACCACAAGTTATACTTAGGCTTGGAAGCACGGTATGCATGAATGACGATTGTTAGGTTCTTATAGATTGTCAATATCATATGAAATTATCTCCCTTTTCATTCTATGATCAACAAAAATCAGTCAACAGATGATAGAATTACCATCAACAGCGAGTTATGAATTTTAGTCAGTAATGTTTTAACCATGTTAACAGAAAAACTATTTTTAAGTTATAATAATGAGGTGATAAATTGTAGATTATTGATGTTAGAAATATTTTATCATGGACTAGATCTGTTTTTTTTTCTGCAAGGATTTTTAATCTATTTTTAGATAAAAAGTATTAAAATCATGTGATCTTTTCTTCTCTGATTATTCCAAACAATGACACCAGTATGTTTGGTAGATCTAATTAAATATAAAGACAAGTGCTATTATGTTCTTCATGGAAACTTTATATATAAAAAAATCTATTGCAAAATACATGCTCTCACATGATTTGGTCTTGCATGATTGGATAAATAATGTAATATTAGCAAGTCATTATAACTAAATTATTAATACTCAGGTTGTAGACATTGACATTTGCAAGGTCAACTTACATCCTTATGGTAGAAAGTTCTGTGGTTAAAATCAGATGTGTAAGATGTTTCACAGTACAACTACTAGTAGTGTTGAATAATCGGGAAAATTTCATAATCGATAATCGGTCAAAATCGGAGAAGCTTAATCGATCAATCATTGAAATAATTGGTAATTCAAATTTCAAATGCAAAATTCTATTTCTTATTTAGCATTTATCATTTATCAGATTTATGGAACAAACTAAAAATAAACTTTTATCAAGTTTATTCTAAGGCCATATAAAATTAATCTTTAGATTCTCATCCCCGCCCGCCCCTCTCAAAATGTCCCGCCCCGATGTTTTTTATTTTGATTTTTGGGTATTTTCATGTATTTTTATTCAGTAAGAATTTGGGTCAAAATTTAAGAGTTATCTCCTGTCTGTATTAAAAGTCACGTGTTGCTATTTATAGCAAAAACGCCATGTGAAGAATGGAGAAAAATCGGCAATAAAAGCAGTTTAAATGTGTAAGGAAAAGATAATTTGTCAGTATAGGAAGGCAGAGAAGAAAAAATAGCATAAACACATAGTTATAGATACCATCACTGGCAGGAGCAAGTATGTAGAGAGATTGTAACTAAGTAAAAATAGACGAGGAAAATGACACCTGGTCAAGTTATATATATAACGATCTCCAGCTGTGTGACTTTGCTTTGAAATAAAAAAAATCTACAACATCGTAGACAGACTTAAGAGAAGGCCTAGATTTTTCAGTAGAATAATTATTAGAACATTTATATAGATTTTGCAAATTAAGAAGTCACGCATACACAATTTATTGCTATCCCCACCTCATTTTGTTCAGGGTGTGCCGTATAATGTGTACTTGATAATTTGTTAATTAACAATAAATATTTAATTTTTAAAGCAAAAATTTTCATTAAATATTTAAAAGAACATGAAAAAAATTAAATCTATTTATATTTGCATTAAGGTAATGAAAAAAATGTGTACCGGGCGTCCATTGTTATGTTGATACTTAGGCCTATATATAAATTAACAATTATAAAAAATAAAAAATAAAATCTGCCTACCCGCCCCAATTTTTTAGCAAATTAGGATGAGAATCTAAAGATTAATTTTACCTGGCCTAAAGACAACATTTTTGTTGTATAAGTAACAAAGAAACTTTTTTTTTTTTTTACATATTTGCTCATAAAACTAAAAATGTTTGTCATGACATCAGATTTTGCATTCCCTATTTAGAATAATCTGATTGTTCTCGGTACAAGCCCTCACCACAGTTAGAATACGCCCATATATTTGCAATGTAGCAAATCAGAGCGGATACGCTCCGACATGACTTTGAAGAATATAAAAGGATTTGCACTGGAAATAACTTCCAAATAAATCAAAACAATCCTTTTGGAGATAGTTTATGCATTTTATCCGACGAAAATCCAATTAATGTTCTCAACATTTTTCTCTCGCTTCAATTTTACCTGCCATGTTTACATTCGGAACTTGTCCGTAGTAAATTCACTGAGTATGATTTATTTCCTGTGTTTCTTCTGCTACATTACGAATACGGAATGAATTCTATCGTTAAACCGGGTCCATAGGAAAATATCATTTTAACGACAGAATGTTCTATCTATGAATTCCTTGGATATGGGTAAATTTCTACTTGATTGTTGTTAACTTCGCCTTCGGACGCCATTTTTGTTGACCTCCTTTCATTTTACATGTATTGTTATTGTGTATGTATTAGTTTCGTTCAATTCATACAAGTTTATTTGGGCGAGATTATTTGGGCGACAATCAATTATGAAAAACGTAATCGATAATTGGAATCGAACACCCAAAAACGATCGACAATCAATCGTCGGCGACAATCGTTTCATCACTAACAACTAGTGAACTACAAGCGGTTAATTTAAATAATACAGTAGTAATACAGCATATACACATGCAGAGCTGCAAAACTTGCAATGCATAAATATTTGCACCACTGGAACGTCTTGTCTCTTGGTGGGTTCAAACTTGACCTGTACAACATGCGAAAACATTGGTTTTCACTGAGGATTAATAAGTCATTAAGCATGTTAAGTGAATTAATATAATTTATATCATTAGTATCACAGGATTGTCCCTATCGAAGAATTGAAATAGAAGGGGATATTTGGAAAGTCAATGGGGATCAAGGGTTCCTCTCCTAATTGGGAGTTTAGGATGAGTACCAAAATAACAGGGAGATTACATCTTTTATACAGGTGGGGATATTCCCCTAAGGGTCATCTAAATTTTTTTGCACAACAAAAGCATGTTGCAGTTGATCTAGCTATGCAAGTAAAACTAGTGATAGCTATATAGTCTTTTTTATCATGTTTATACCTAGCTTAACTATTTTTTAAACAAGCAATTGAAAACACAAGGAAAATATACAGCGGCCCCTCTAGGCCCTTAATTTTAGGGGCCAGCCCTTTTTACTAGATATGATTTGAAAGATCTGATATAAGAAACTATTTTTGTGTTTTATATAAATTATATTACAATATGATTTTATGGTTTCTATTTCAGCTGTCTTCAATCATTGTGTTTGGCTGTATATTAGCTGAGGGGTGGTATGCAGGCCACTGTCAAATGAATGATGACCCTAATGCATGTGGTTATGGAACAGGAATTGGAATCATTGCTTTTCTGCTCTGTTTAGGATTTTTAGTTCTTGATGCTGTATTTGAAAACATCAGCAGTGTGCAGTATCGAAAATATGTTGTCCTCGCTGATATGGCTATCTCTGGTAAGTAAACTTAATAACCAGGAAGGTAATTATCAGATATAATTATATGTAGGTCAGATAGTAGAATTTTTAGTCAATAGTGCAAATTGAATGGCAGTTTTTTTTTAATAGGTTATCTTTTAAGATAAATGTATCTCATTGCACTCACACAGTATTACTTGTAAGGTGTATCAATACATTTTATGCTTGTACAAACATGTTATCAGAAAAAGTTTTATTTTAATACACATATGCAATGTACTAAAATGTTCATATTACCGGGTAATTAATATATATGCAAGGGTTGACTGGAAAGTTTGTGGACCATGTCAATGTTAATTATACAATATTCAAGAAATTTGAAATGAACATACCGTATAGCGGGTTTTCTTGACGGGTGTAAAATTTAGCGTTTTGTCTGCTCAAAGGTATGCTAATAATTTTAGCGTAATTTATTTAAGTGGACACAGGCTTTCAAGCTCTTTCCAGATGGACACTAAAATGAGTACTGACTATTTTGGTGATGAAAATTTTAGCAGATTATCATCCAAACACCAAAATTAGCACCCCACTAAAATAACCTGCTATATGGTATTATATGGTATTATGATATATAAAAAATAGCAAACTCAACAGCATTGTAATGTCAAAAACATCTTGTAGCATCTTGAGATTCTCAAAAGTAAATTTTGTTTATCAATATTATTTAATTTCAATATTAAAGCTGAACTGATATTTAATATATTTATGCCCCCATAATTGAACAGTGGGGAGTATACATGTATAGATTTTGCCCTGTCTTTTTGCCTGCAAAAACTTTCTCAATAACTTTGGAGTGGATGGAGCTAATGGTTATATTTTACATGTGTATTCCTTGTGAGAAGTCCTTTTGTTGGGTACAAACATATTTAACCTCTTGACCTTGGCCTTGGAGTTTTACCCACTATTGCAGAAATTACTTTTTAACCCCAGCCATAACTTTTGAACAGTTGGTGCCAGCTAGGGCTTTCATATTTCACATATTTATACATTTTGACAAGACAATTCCATGGGTATGAATATTTTTGACCTTGACATTAGCTATTGATCCACTTTTAAA